TCCAACCCTACCAACCATGAAACTATAAGTAAGAACTTCTTTACTGTCTGAGCCCCCAAGGTTTGGAATAGACTGCTGCCGGAGGTGGTTCAAGCACCTACTCTGAACGCCTTCAAGAGACAGTTGGATGTTTATCTTGCTGGGATCCTATGATCCCCGCTGACTTCCTGCCCCTGGAGCAGGGGGCTGGACTCGATGATCTTCCAAGGTCTAGTGTCTATGAATCTATAAAAACAGCAGCTGCTGCAGCTGCCAGTTGGCTTCACCACCAGAAGTAGCTGCACTACCCAAAGCACAGAGCTGCCCTGTTATGCCTCTATTTCCATGTTCTGTCCTTCCAGACCTGCTCTGCCCCTTTCTCCTGCCCCCAGGAAGAGTAGAAAAAAGTTTTTTGTTGTTCTTCTGGTTTGATTTTTTTCATGTTTTTTTCCTGCATTTTTTTTAGGAGGAGGAGGTTTTAAAAACATCATTCTATTTCTCTGTATTCTGGAATGACTATTTTAAAAACATTTTAGCCAGCTGTCTTTATTTAAGAGTGAAACTGGTAGTAACAGAATATATTTTAAAAAATGTGTTACACTAAATGTGTTCCTGCATTAAAATAGTATTATAGTCTTTACAAACTATGAAGATAAAGTCATAATTTACATGCGGATTACTAAATAATGAGCCCAACAGAAAACAGTAAGGAGAAATGACACAAAACCACATAAAATGTTATACAAAGCCAAATACAATGTTACAAATATCCACTTGTTCCACAAAACCAAATAAAATGGTACAAGTATCCAATCCAGACAACCACGTGAATAGCGATGCTCATCATCTCTCATCTATCTAAGTAGGCTTCCTGGTTGAACAGTCTATTTATTTAAATGGGAGCCTTCAGCTACATAAGCCTTCTGGAGCAAGAGTGCCATAATTATACTTGTTTACTTAATCCACTTTCCAAGCAGAGTAGGCTAAGTCAAATGGAGGCACTCTTATTCTTGAAGAATGGTGTCCAGGCGCTGTGTCAGTCTGCAATAGTTATGCCAGCATGACTCCAGAGGTAACAAATTAACTCTTAATGAGGGCTATAGAAAGAGGATGGATTCGGGTAAAGGCCTTGTGCTTTTCTCTATAATTCTTGCATGCATTTTATTTTATAGAGCAGGGGTTCCTAAACTGTGGTGCACCTACCCCTGGGGCATGCAACACATCTCTGGGGGGAGGTACACAGGAGAAACTGTGTAATAGCCGATTCAATTGTCATGATAAGAATGATTGGCATTTAAGGGTTTAAAATACAAAACCTATGCTGATAGGGTTACATGGGCAGCTGGTAAATCTGGAAGGGGGTAGGCAATAAGAAAAAGTTTGGGAACCTCTGCAATACAGCTTTGGGGGCCATTTTCCACCCCAGTTCATATTGATTGTTCTGCTTGACACACTCAAGCAGAGCCAAATTTTCCAGCCTTTCCTCAGCAGAGGCGAGGGACTGTCCGTGTCCATACAGAGGACACTCCTCACTCCACTCCAGCCCTTTGCTCCCCAAAATCTGAAAACACTACAGAAACACGGGGCTGGCAAGGCAAAAGGGGCACCTTGGGACCCCTGCCCTGCCTGCTCCCCCAGCTCTTTTGCCTTTAAGCCTCAAAGGTTTCCTGGTTCTTTTAAGTGCCTGTCCCTGCCTGGGGTTATCTGGCAGGAGGAGCCCCGGGTCTCTGCTTTTCCTCCGTCGCACAGCGGGCAGGGCAGGGAGCCGTGCGATCCCCTGACCCTGCAGAGCTGCCCTTCACGGGCGGTGAAACGCCGCTGTTGCCGGGGGAGCAGACTGAAAGCCCTGCGACTCAGGTACCGTGGCGCGGCAGCCTGCTTCACCCTCCCTGCCCCGCTCCGCACTCACACGTGTCCGCACTGGGTCCGCACGGGCTGGTGCAGCACCTCCAGGCAGATGGAGCAGTCGAAGGACGGCGACGGCGGCGACTCGGCAGCTCCGCCCGGGCACCGCGGGGGCTGGGGGGCAACGGCCGCCGCCTCGCTGCGCAGCGCGGACCCCATGGCGCTGCCTCGCCCGCTCGCCCCTCCGC